TATAATATATAATAACTATGATATTAAAATAAATTAAATAGTTATTTTTAAAAATAATATTACAAATTTTATATTTTTATTATTTAATATTTAATATTAATATATGTACATAAATATATATTTATTTAAATTGTGATTGCGTAAATATAAATTATAATATATTTGAAATAATATGAATATATTTATTATTATAATTACATTATAATTACATTATAATTACATTTATAATCTTTGTTAACTTATTTTCAAAGAATATAAATTATTGTTTACTATTAAGGTAATTATCATGAATACAATTTATTTAACTCTACAAAAATAAAATAAAATGCACATAACAATAAAAATTTAATAGCTACTGCAAAGATTTGAAAATAAATACATATTTATATTGTTTTGTTGCATTTTAATATCTGTGTAAATATATATGTAAATACATTGAGAAAGCTGAGATTATGGCGCACTCTGGTAGAATTTTCACAGAATAGAATTGCTTTATTAAAAAATTTCAAATGATTGAAATGAACAAGTGAAAGAATATATGTTATTCTGAAAATTTTATAAAGCTGTAAATCATTAAATTATTATTTATACAATATTTTTTTGCATACTTCAGAGTACAATAAAAAATAATAATGATTAATTTCTAATATTCTATTGAAAAGTAATTACTGTTATATTAAAGTAATCATCATCATCACTCAATTTACTTGATATAAAAATGAATCATTTCGAATAAATTAAAAATAAAAATAATAATGTCTGGGAGAAAAAAAACCAACCAGAAAGGTGGAAGACGAGGTCGAGCATCACCATCTCCAATCCCACCGATGCAACAAAAAAGGTTAGTCTATTATTTGAAAAAACTATACATTATATGAATTATATAATCTTCAATTTATATAATTGCGGAAATAATTAATTTATGTTTTTTAAAAGAAATATATATTTTTTATATATTAATAATTGCTGACTAATTTTTCTGAATAAGTATATAAATATATAAACATATTTATATACTATCTATTTACTTTATATCAAAGAACTATAAACAGAATATTTTGCATAAAATCATGCAATAATACTTTATAAAATGATATATTTATAAGATATAAGATTTGTAAGTTTTTATTTTTAAATTTATAAAGATATAAAGATTATAATATAAAGATTATAATATATTTGTAAGTTTTTATTTTTAAATATTGTTATTTTAAAAATAAAAAAATAATTAATACATTCTACAATATAAAATTAATATTTTTTATATAAATATTATTTTTTATATATGCGTAATATGGATCATGAAATCATGTGAAATATTCTATTTAATATATATATATATATCTAACATGCTAGCCAACATCATAATTTAAATATTATTAAAAATTGGTAGATAATAATATAATAAGTTTTATGCATGTAAACAGAATATAATTATATATAATTATTAATGATTTTTTATTAATTTCTCATTTATTCATTATTTAAAATTTATTAATTTTTTTTAATTTCTGAAGTTATGAAATGAACTGAAGTTGTCTCTCTTTTGGGAGTATTTCCTATTTTATTTCTGGAAAGTTCGATAATTCTGAGTCGGCGCAGTTTGAATAGCTTGCATAACGTATAAAGGCATTAAAGATTTCATTTCAGTATCAGAACAAGCTTGCAAGAGTACGAACGTTTATTGTGTTATACGAAATCTAGTGTGCAAAAAAAAAAAAACGTAAAACATGCCACGACGTGGACGTGCAGCAAATCCTCCACCAAGGACGTAAGTATTTTTTCTTCGAATTAGATTTATACGCATAATTTTTTGTAAAATATTTTTAATTATTCAATGACATTGCAGATTTTATTTGACGATATTCATAATCAAATTATGTGATCGCTTTTTTTTTTATTTCTTTTATAATTATATATAATTTTGTAATTGTGTAATAAAAATAATTTTATTTTTTAGGGTTAGACGAACATCAGCTCCAGTCGCAGCTCCTGCACAACCTGCACATGCTCCTGCACATGCTCCTGCAGCAACACCAATGATGGCTCAACCTCAGCAGCCATCCCTCATGGGACAAATGGCTGCTACTGCTGGAGGTGTCGCTATAGGTTCTGCTGTTGGTCATACTATTGGACATGCAGTAACTGGACTTTTCAGTGGAGGATCTAGTGAATCTGCTGTTGCACCTGCAGCACCTGCTGTAGCACAAAGTGCACCAGCTTCTGCACCTATTGGTGGAGCTTGTGCTTGGGAAGTAAAACAATTTTTGGAATGTGCTAATAATCAATCTGATCTTACACTGTGCGAAGGGTTTAATGAAGCTCTTCGTCAATGCAAAGCAGCTAATAGTAAGTTTAAATTATTATTATTATTATTATTATATTATTTGTATTATATATATTTTATATATATTATGTTCTTTAATTTCAGATGTAGTTTAAACGAGCATCTTCCCAAAAGCATTTGGATGATAGAAGAAATTTAGGAGCTCAGCATCATGTGAATTAATTTAATAAATCTTATAAAAATTTGGATTTAATTTACAATGAATAAAAATTATGTTAAAATTATTATTAATATGTATTAGACAATATCTTTGTATGTATAGAAGTGAAATAAATTGACTTCTATTTACACATTATATTTATTTTAATCTTCTTATATTTCTATATTTATATTTTTAAATAACTAAATGAACAAAAAATAACGTAAAATAAATATTAATTTTCATATAATAATAAATATATAATAATAATGATAAATGATCATATTTTAAGAGAAAATATTTTACATTTTTTGAAGTTTTAAATTTTGATTACATATTTTTATGTAGATTTAAGGCAAAAAATTCATCATCTCAACCATGGGCAAATAATAGCAGTCAATCTTCAACTTTTCAATCTGCTGCTAGTACAGCAGCTGGAGTTGCTGTTGGTTCTATTATAGTAAGTATTAATTTAATTTTTTTTATACTTTTTTGTTTTCTTTGAAAATTAATAGTTCTCTGATTCATATAAGGGCCAAGCAATTGGAAGCACACTTGCTGGCAACATTAATCATGTATCTTCTGCTAAAGCAGAATCTAAAAATAATTCTGAAGAACCGTGTATTCCTGAAATACGAGAATTCTTCGAATGTGCTTCAAGAAATGAAGATCTAGATACATGCAAAGCTTATCATGATATGTGGATGAAATGTCAAAATGGATACAAACATAAAAATTAATCATTCATATGAAATGGTATGTTTCAAAAGATTAAATTATAAATAAAATGTTCTGATCCTTATTATGAAATAATCAAGGACATATAAAAAATTACTGATTTAAGAACATTGTTTATTAACTTAACGCGTTTCTTAAAGACGGCTTTATACTTGAAGTAAAGAGGCAGTTAAATGTGCAAGAAAAGGAATATGGTAGACTATCTTTTTTCTGTATTTAAGACACGCATCACCACAAAACCTGCAACGGTAGCAACTGCAATTCCAAGACCAGCTTTCCACCAGACAATTGAATCTCCTTGTAGTAATCCAAATTGATTTATATGTCTGAAAAATTAAGAATTATTTATTATAATAATCATTTATAAAATTTTATAAATTCTCCATAAAATTTGTCCAATATATTTATGTATGTGCATATACATATATATGTATTATTTCACAATATAAACGTAATATACTATTCTATAATAAAATTGTTGACTTTGATAATTGTATTTATTGCAATTAAACACGCGCAACTAAATTTAAATACTGAAATATATATAGAATACAGAAAATTAAATTAAGATTTAAAGATTAAACATATTTCATGCTCATGCAAAAGAATAATTTTGATATTATTTCGTATTGTAAGTCGTGAGCACTCCGTGAAATTAACGGAAACTTATAATACAAACAAAAACCTTGTAAAAGAATTCCACCACTGAGTGGGTGAGGGTTTGACAAGCAACATGTGGACCATTCGCCTCAAACGACTGAAAAGATTTAAGACTTTGTTATGATAGTCTTAATCATGCGATATCTTTTAATGTGAGCAAATCGCCTAGCACATTTAAAAAAATATATTTGTGCATACGTGCAATAAAATATGAAAAAAAATGTGATTCACGATTTGCTCAAGCTTACAATGCTTACGATGTTGCAAAAATTCAGACCAACCTGTCTCTGTAAAATAATACCCATGCTCCTTGAAAGCGGCTAAACATGAAATCTTTTTGTTAGTGTTTAATATTATAAATTTAATAATTATAAATCAGTATAAAAGATATAATATTTTTCATAAAAATTTATAAGAAATACTAAAAAATATTTGATAATATCAAACAAATGCGCCACAATTTTATATTTCTTTTATAATGAATTTAAATAAATGATTGCTTTTTAAAAATAATTTTTTAGGAGCTTTTTCATATAAAATCTACTTAATCAATATTTTAAGTAATTGAACTTACGGGAAAGCTGCCATTGTTGCTAATTTAACGAAGATTTCACGTCGTACTGTACGGGAGATACTATAAGGTTGCGGTGGCATTAATTTGTATTTATTACAAAAACTTATTGGTTGTAGCAAATAATCTTGTTTTACTTCGGAAAGATCACTTTTATTTGCTATTATAAGAACAGGAATCTTACTATCTGCAAAATATTTCTGAAAAATATAATAAATCATAAAGAATAATTCCAATATATTTACACAAAATTGTATAAAACTTACAATATAAATCCGTGCAATATATTCAAATGATTTGGGATTACTAGCATCATAAACAAGAGCTGCCACATCACACTGAATTTGTGCTGGAGTTAGAGCATCTTGAACATTAAGTATATTTATATCTCGTAAAATTATTGTCTTTTCCTGACCATATACATGCACTGTATTTACAGTAATATGCGAACTCGGCGGCACAACTTCTTCGGTTAATTTCTGCAATTATATTATGTGTTTTACATATATATGTTATGTGAGCAACACGATTATATATGCATATATATATATATATCTACCTCGAGCTTAGGGTCAATAAATGTCCTACATAATGTTGTTTTTCCACTACTTTTTGGACCAATTACATGACAACTATAAACATTTCTACTTGATTGTTTTTTTGCTAAATCTAACTTTTTTTCACGAGTAACTAGAACCGCATTTGTTTGACATTCATTATTATACATGTTATAACCTAAATATGCCATGTATTCTAATGTTTTTCGTACATTTGTAAGAGTCAATAATGACCATTGACACATATATCCTTGAAATGTAATCCATCCCTATTGCAAAAAAAATGTTATAAACAAAAGAAATTATAATGAAAAAAATAAATACCTTTTCATTAGTTGGTACAATATATTTATATTCATCTCCCCAAGGTGGAGTTAGACATCGTGAAAACAATGATTCCATTTCTAATGGAGAAAGCGCACCATCTCGATCTCGATCATGTTGCATAAATAATAATGTTAAAAATTCTTGTCCTTTATGTGATAATTCAGTTGTACATCCAACTGGAATCTTTAATCTGTATATTACATAGAAAATAAATATAATAATAAATAAAAATAAAAAAATATTTAAAATATCTTTTATTGTGTACTAACGGTGGATATATATATTCTTTTGACATTTGTAATTCATTGTCATAACCAAATTTTCTTAATACAGCCCATGTTGTTTCATTTCTTCCTCGTTGTATAAATAAACATTGAAGATACATAAAACCTAAAAATAAGGATGTATTTTCATATTGATCTTTCAAAAACACAATATGTAAAATACCTTTCATAGTAACACATCCACAACAAATGCCATCTTGAATATTTTTTGATAATACAGCCTTTACATCCTCCAATACTTGTGGTTGTAATGGAGTATTAAAGCACCATTGTTGAAATGCATTTAGTTCCATGTCATTTAGCAAGCCATCATTGTCTAAATCACATATCTGTATACAAAATATTATTATATAAATATATAACATATTTAAAAGTATATTCACTAAGAATATAATATAATATAAAAAAGAATATATTATATATACTCACTTTAAAAATTCTTTGTAGTGCTATTTTACATTCTTCGGTAAGCTAAATATTAATATATTATAATTATTTTTTATTAATTAAATATTAATATATTAATATATTAATAAATTATTTATGTTTTAAATTGCATATATATTATAATTTTTACCTCCTGAGTATCATAATTATAAAGTGGTGTGGTAGGGTGTAAAACAGCTTTTTGTGCATAATAAAATGTTTCTGAAACATTTTGTAATGTTTTGGCAGAACACTACAAAAATATAATATGAATTAAAATATTTTATTATGAACTATTTAATTATATTATATTATATTACTATAATCAATTTTTTTTACCTCAATACAACTCTCAATTTCAGTGAATTCTTTCATTATAGGATATACAGCCTAAAAAAAAAAAAATAAATAAAAAGTTTAAATTAAAAAAATAAATAAATATATAAATCATTTAATTTATTAAACCTCAATTGTAGAATAGTCAACAAGATCAATTTTATTTCCCACAAGGACAACTGGACAACGATTATTTGATGAACAACGTCTAATCAATGGTAACCAATAAGTAGCTGCCCTGTCCAAAGTATCTTCATCAACTACAGAATATACAACACAAATTACATGTGCTTTTTGAATTTCATCAGTTAACTGATCTTCAGTTTGTTCAGCAGCTATAAATAAAAGTTATAAATAAAAGTAATGTAGTTGTCATTTAATGTTTATAAAAACAATGAAAATATCATTTCTAAATACCTGAATAATCTACAATGTGTGTTGGTACTTGTTCCGGTGTAACGTCAGCCGGAATAGTAATTTCTTCCGCTTTACAGGGTACATCTTCTGCATATTCTTCACTAACTAAAGATAATATTAAAGAGGTCTTACCGACTCCGCGATCACCAATTAATAGAATTCTAACATTGCGCCTAGGCGCCACTGAACGTTGTACCATGTTGATTTTAATAAAATAATTATTACATGTAACGCTGGCATTCACTGCCTAATTTCTTAAAAACATTTTTCGTAGTTTTTTAACTAATGTATCGTATTATATTCTAACCTATAATTTGTACCTATATCAGCAACTAAACTTCACTTTCAATAATTTTTCGATCTTTTACAAAGACATTTTTATCAAAGATTGTCTACAATCAGAAATCACAATATAATTCTTAAGATTTATGTAGATAAAAAAAAAATATTACTTCACCCGCTATGATTGAACTTATGCTTCGAGGGTGGCCTTTTCAAGGTTACGTTTGGTACCTCAAATGACAGTATACACATAAAATGTGTACACGTGCGCATATAAATGTAAAAAAGCAATTAAAAGAAGCGAAAGGATAATAAATAATAATTTAAATAATTGTTTCGTTTTCGATTGATATAATAATTACAAGAAATAAGATGAACAGAAAATTATTCTATTTTTGGAATGAATTTAATGGATTTATAGCGCCCACTTTTAAATCACATATTATACTTGTTATACATGAACTCGTAGAAATCGATAGTGCTTAAATATTTTTTGCTATTTGAGATTAATTTTTAAATAAATAATAAAATGTCAAATATAAATTTACATTTTTATTCTCTGTTTTCACTTTTTATTCTCTAATTATGCATCATAAAATTTTAAAAATATAAAAATATAAATAAATAAAAATCATATAAAATTTTATTTAATTTTCAATACTTTTAAAAAATATATACATAAAATTTTATATTAAAAAATATTTTTTATTTGAATAATTTTTAAAATTTTTAAAAATTATTGATTAATTAGAATTATTGCATCAATATAATAAAATAAAAAATGAAATGGTATTGTGAAATATAATAAAAAAAAATTGTGAATGATTGCGTTACTATTATCTAAAACGAAAATATACTTTTACTTTGTTATCACTTATACAAGATTTCTTTTTTTCTTTTTTGCATATGCATTTATTTGTAATGCTTTATATGTTATCAGTAGAAGCAAAAAATTATTTGTTACTGAATTATTTTATAAATGATATTATTTATAAAAACATTTTAAATAATAGTATTTTATAAATGATATAATAAAATTTGGATTATATAAATGTCACATAATGAAATTTTCTCATATGAACGAATGAATAGAAGATAACATATAAAAATAAATATTAATAAATATATACATAATAATTAATAATAATAATAATTAATAATTAATAAAAATAATTAAAATTAATAATAATTTTATGATTATTAAATATTAGTATTATAAATTTTGTTGTGTACTAATTCAAATTTTTTTTTGTTAATGAAAAATAAAGAAAGTATATTTTCATAGTCTTTTTATTTGTTTACTATAAATTGCATATTAATATAATTTTGTATATTTTTTTTCTATACCCCCCAGGGATTTAAAAATATAGTCGAACATTTAAAAAATAAATAAAATGATAACCTTAGCATATATATTAATCACCTGAAAAGTTCAAGACATATATATTATCTTATTATATTATCCCGCGTTCAAAGATACAGATGACCCTCAACATTTTATGTTCTTTTTCTAAGTAAGCTAAAAGTCATTCAGTTATTTAATTAATTGGAAAATAATATTATAAATAAAAATTTATTGTTTAATAAAAATTTAATCTTCTAAAAAAAAAATTTAATATTGTTCTATGTTTCCATCCTTTTTCCATTATTATTTTTGTTTTGTATATTAACAATTATAAATTAATGTAAATTGTAAATGTAAATGTAAATTTTTTTTTTAAAATTGTTTTTATATTTATCGAACTTGAATTAAAATTAGAAAATATTATTATTACAAAATTAAAATAATTAATATAATTTAATTTGATCTTTTTCTGTTGGATACTTTTTATGTTGAATTTTATAAATGAAAAATATAAAAATTAAAATAAATATAACTCATAATATTTTAGTAAAATGAAAATAAAGTTTTTCAAAGAAAATTGAATAAATATAATGAATGAAGAGAACCGATAAAAATTCCAGTATTTAATTCTCCTTATAAGAGAACTTGATGCATAATCTATTTGCAATGATACATATCATCATTTAACCTTCGATCGAATGCGCCGAACACATTCGAAATATTTAGTTATGGATATCGCGGGTAGACTGCGAAATCTTGAAGGAGGTGGGTCGGCAGGTCGCCGATAAACCCCTTCCTTGATAGAATTTAAGTATAAAAGACTGGTTGAACAGACAGTCAACATCGCATCGCATCATTGAATTTCGCAATGAGGTATTTCATTATCCTGCTGGCTCTGGTAGCCTTAGGGGTCTGTGCCCCCAACGTTAAACAACGTGCTGGTGAGTTATTTAAAACTATTATTTTTATAATTTTAAGTTGTAAAAGATTTAATAAGAATGCTATGAAAATAATTCTATATTA